GTATAATATGTAAAGTTTAACAAGTAAAGTATAACAAGTAAAGTTTAACAAATAACTAAAATATAATTTATCAGTTTTAACAAATCACGAACGTATAAAAATATAATTTTTTTAAATATTTATTAAGGATTATTAAAACAATTAAACAGATTTCCAACATCCATTTTCCTCAAATAAAATAAATATTACCAACCGGTTTCCTAAAACTACTGCGGATGATAAGTAAACCATCTAAAAGTTACGTCATCGTCATTAGCTAGAACCCAGACTAGCCGGTACTCTAGCTGCTAGAGCTAAAGATCCAGCAGCCGGTACCGTAGCCACTGCGATTATTAAAATAGTATGGTGTATATTTTTATAATCTTTACTGTTACTTTTAATCGCTGTTATTACAACTATTATTTTTATTTACTCCAACTTGCATTATAATTATTACTAATAATACTTTACTTAATAATAAAATGATGCTAATAATATTAGCATCATTTTATTACTATTGAATTTTACAGGTGTTTATTTCATATTACTATTTGTAAATAACTTTATTCAGAATATATTTGATTTGATTTATTTTGATCACTAAAACTTTGAAAGTTATTGAAAAGCAATGAGGCAAAAGCAATTTTATACATTTATATATATATATATATATATATATATATATATATATATATATATATATATATATATATATATATATATATATATATATATATACATATATATATATATATATATATATATACATATATATATATATATATATATATATATATATATATATATATATATATATATATATATATATATATATACATACATATATATATATATATACATATACATATACATATACATATACATATATATATATATATATATATATATATATATATATATATATATATATATATATATATATATATATATACAGTAGGTTTATCAGGAAGCCTGATCAACTATTGAACCTACTGATAAACCTTCCTTATGAACCTACTGATGGAGAAACACGTTGTTAAAGAATAAAACTAGATAAATGTTTTTACTTATCTAGTTTTAATCTTCATATATATATATATATATATATATATATATATATATATATATATATATATATATATATATATATATATATATATATATATATATATATACATATATATGTATATAGGTTTTCATGAATGAAAGTTAATAAACAAATGTAACTTTTTAGAATAATTTTACAAATTTTCTTTTAGACATTGGAGCCTGAAAGAAAACCATCAGGAATTTAAAGTGTTTAAAAATTTCCAAAGTTTGTTATTGAGCTAATTCGAAAAATACACTTATGCTAGATTTATTAGGACTATTTATTAATCCAAAAATCAGATCAATTTTTGTTTTAGACAAACTCAAAATGGACAGACAAAAAAAATTTCTCCATTTAAAATTTATGCAGAGGTTATTTGAAATTCGAAATAGTAAAACAAATGGTCAAACTATAAACAGGATTATTAAAGTTCTAGAAATTACCTTAGTTGCTCAAATATGGTACGAGCTCAAATATTTTTGATAAAGTATCAAAAGATTTTTTATTCTTTCTTATCAGAAAGAATAAAAAAAGTTTTATGTTCAAATGTTTATTTGTGTTTAAATAAACTTTTGTTATAAGAATTTGAGTTAGTGAATAATTCTTTTAGTTATTTAATATTTAAAGTCATTTTCTATTAAAGTTTATTTATGCAATTTTTCCTATTTTTTCTGTTTGTATAGATTTTCTATGTGTATAGATTGTATAATATGTGTTTCTATGTGTATATATTGTATAATAAAAAATGTGTATAGATTTTCTATATTTATATCAATACAATTTTACAAAATAAAGAATGAATAATTACCTAATTAATTACGTAAAAAAAGAATAGAAACTTTTAATTCTTTAATTTTATGTATTTTACTATAAAGAACAAGGCCAAAACGATCAAGGTCAAAGCCAAAAACTTCAAGGCCAAGGCCAAAAGTTTCAAATCCAAGACATTAGTTTCTGGTCTTAAAGCAAGGTCAAGGCCCAGGACTAACAACTCTGGTCTAAAGAAACCTCTATATAGAAAATAGTATAAGTTATCGCTTATAATTAATACTTAACTTAACGCTGCTGCTCACCATTCGTGCACCTTTACACGGATTTTTTTACCATACTTGGCCTTTGAGTTTTATCATAAATTGCTTTACTTCTGAACTCGCCTAATGGGGCTCTTTCAAATCTTAATAATCTGTCAGTATCTGCTTAATCAGTAATGAGATCAAAAACTTTGTTTCATCAGCTTAATTAGTGAAAAGATCAACAATTTTTATTTGATAACTTCTGTAGTAAAGGATGAACATTATGTTATTATTGAATTAGTAAAGTAACTTTTAAAGTCAGGTGATTTATTTAAATCATGCATTTTGGTCTTTTGTCAATTGTATTTAAATTTATTAATTTATAAAATTAATCTCTAATTTTTAAATTAAAAGACGACTCAAGAAGACGTTGCTCATTTCAAAGGTCAAGAGGTCAAACTCTTGATAAAGTTAGTGTTTAAAACACTTGCATCTCACACGGTCAACTCAATGTTACATGTTAAAGAACAAGATCGTTTAATACCTTATTTAAAAGAAGTTATAAAAATCCGTATAAAAAACCAGATTGTTTGATAGTTTGTTTTTGAAAGTTGTTAAACATTTATTACGAGGTATTTCAAAAAACAAAAATAAGGTTGTATTTGTAAAGTTTCAAATTTATATATTTTTCTTAATTTATATATTTATCTATATATGTGTGTTATTTATATTGTGTTTTATTGTGTATATATGTGTTAAGGTTATATGGGTTTATATTTTGTAAGTGTGTAAATATATGAAATGTTTCAATGTTTGTGAACTCGCCTAATGGGGCTCTTTCAAATCTTAATAATCTGTCAGTATCTGCTTAATCAGTAATGAGATCAAAAACTTTGTTTCATCAGCTTAATTAGTGAAAAGATCAACAATTTTTATTTGATAACTTCTGTAGTAAAGGATGAACATTATGTTATTATTGAATTAGTAAAGTAACTTTTAAAGTCAGGTGATTTATTTAAATCATGCATTTTAGTCTTTTGTCAATTGTATTTAAATTTATTAATTTATAAAATTAATCTCTAATTTTTAAATTAAAAGACGACTCAAGAAGACGTTGCTCATTTCAAAGGTCAAGAGGTCAAACTCTTGATAAAGTTAGTGTTTAAAACACTTGCATCTCACACGGTCAACTCAATGTTACATGTTAAAGAACAAGATCGTTTAATACCTTATTTAAAAGAAGTTATAAAAATCCGTATAAAAAACCAGATTGTTTGATAGTTTGTTTTTGAAAGTTGTTAAACATTTATTACGAGGTATTTCAAAAAACAAAAATAAGGTTGTATTTGTAAAGTTTCAAATTTATATATTTTTTTTAATTTATATATTTATCTATATATGTGTGTTATTTATATTGTGTTTTATTGTGTATATATGTGTTAAGGTTATATGGGTTTATATTTTGTAAGTGTGTAAATATATGAAATGTTTCAATGTTTGTGGTGTGTTATATGTAATATGTTTATAGTTTGTAAGTGATAATTATGTTGTTTGCATGGTTTCAAATTGTTGTGACTGGGCTTAGTTTACAGCAAGATTGTTGACCTCGCTAGCCAAGTGGTGTACTTTGCTATAATGTGACCTGGCTTTGTTGAGAGCAAAAATATTGTCCTCGCCAGCAGAGTGGTGGATTGTCATAATAAAACACATAAATTAATTCTGTTTGTAATTAGTGTATTTCTAAAATGTGTTGAAAAAATATTGTTTAAAAAATGTGTTTTAATGTTGTTATCCTCTGTTCTTAACAATGTATGCTTTTGACAATAAATAAATTTTGTTAAAAAGCAGGCTTTACTAACAGCTCCTCCTCATTAAAATTTTTAAGAGTTTCGATTTTCTTCATTAAATATGTTTAACTCAAATTTTTTTTATATATATAAAAGTAAGTATACAGCGTGTTGAAGCATAAGTTTTAATAACTTTTGTTAAATTTTTAGGATTTTTTGTATAGAGAATGTTTTCTTTATATTATTATTTTAATGTTTTGTATGTACATCAATATATATATATATATATATATATATATATATATATATATATATATATATATATATATATATATATATATATATATATATATATATATATATATATATATATATATATATATATATATATAAAATGTCTATACATATATTATATGTATAGACATTTTAATTTTTTTGCCTTAAATTATTGTCCCTTTTTCTTTAGAATATTAAATATCTAAAAAAAAAATAAAATAGTAAAAGAAGTTTCAATATTTCCAAGTTTCTTCACTTGAAGCAAATATATGATTGTTTATAGAGGTTCTTTTAGTAGTTTTGTATTTATTTATTGCAAATCTTGCGTTAAATGCCTTTCAAAGTAATGAAAGGGTTTTGTTGATGGATGATTACATTTTATCTATCCATGCTAGCAGTACCTGCTGAGTTGACAGGCCTTAAACTTTTTTAATTTGCTTTATTTATGAGTTCTTATATGTAAAAAATTTGTTTTTTAAATTACATTTGTTTTTTTTGTTTTTTTTGATTAAATACTTATAATATTTTGTCAATAATTGATAACAACTACCATAAATATATAAACAATACTTAGTTGAAAATATTACATTAATTTATAACTTTAGTTTAAGTTTTTAATAAAACTATGTTATCTTAACACAATGCTATATATGGTAGAATATAATAGATTATAGTATTATGCTCTGTATTATTTGCTTACACTTTATTTTAGATAAGTTTAAAAAAGAAACTTCAACTTTTATTATATTAGGCATCATTTTTACACACTCCTTTGATGCCTAATTATGTCTAATAATTTAAGAAATGAAATTATTAGACTTCGTCAAAATGAAAGAAGGCAGGCTAGGCGAGCTGAGATAAACCGCCGTCGAAATGAAAGAGATGAGCCCAGGCGAGCTGAGATAAATCGTCGTCGAATGGAAAGAGATGAGCCCCGGCGAGCTGAGATAAATCGTCGTCGAATTGAAAGAGATGAGCCCCGGCGAGCTGAAATAAATTGTAATCAAAATGAAAGAAATCAGGCTAGGCGAGAACTTAATAGGTATAATATGCATCGCATAGCAAGAAATAATATTGCTATAGAGAGTAACTACCTCGGAGAATTAAACCATAATTGTCGGTATTGCAGTGCAAAGAAGTTTTTAAATGAAACTCATTTTTTGTGCTGCCATTCAGGAAAAGTTATATTAGCTCCTCTTTCTCTTTATCCGCCATTGTTGACTGGTTTAATGACAGGAAACCATGTTGATCATGCTGTAAATCAAAATTTTTTTAAACACATAAGGAGTTATAATTCCTCTTTATCTTTTGCTTCCTTCACTGCCGAAATAGGTCCTCCCTCAAATAATGGCCCTTTCTGTTTTAGGGTCTGTGGGCAAATTTTGCATCGTGTTGGAAATTTAAGGCCTGCAGAAGGTTGTCTGCCCAAATATTGTCAGCTGTATATCTATGATCCTAATGCAGCAGTGTCATTCAGAATGGAACAACCTGGTAATGATGGTTGTATACATGAGTTAATGCAACTCTTGCAAACATTAATTAATCAAGAAAACCCATTTGCTCTTGCATTTAAAAACATGGCAGAAGTAGAGGATGAAGAAATCCGCCAAGCAGCTTTAGAATAGTATTATAATTATAGGCTTGCTGTTAGACAAACTTTTAGTCCTATATTCTATGGTAAGAAACTTTTTCAGCAATATGTTGTTGATGCATATGTCAAAGTTGAGGGACAGCGCCTTGCTTTTATTAGAAATAACCAAAACTGATTGATTGTTTTTATTGCATTTTTAATTTTCTTTTATTTATCTCTAGCTGCTGCTTCTTCTGTTACAAGTAAGTTGTTCTATTCACTTATACTTGACTTAATTTATGGATTATTTGGTTTTATTGCATTTTTAACTTTCTTTTATTTATCTCTAGCTGCTGCTTCTTCTGTTACAAGTAAGTTGTTATATTCACCTTTACTTGATTTATTACATTGATTGATTGCTTTTATTGTACCTTTTGTTTTTTAATATAGCTACAAATGTGCTTTCCAGTTTAATTAGTTAATGTAATAAGTCAAGTATTAGTGAGTAAAATAAATAAGTTGTTGTGCTCACTTGTACTTAATTTATTACATTATTTGCTTTTATTGTTTTTTTACAGTAGATTTTTTGTAAGTATAACCTAGGTAGATAGTTGTATTTATATATAATTTTTTTTTCAGGCTCGAAGTCATGGGAAGATTTCCGAAAGTATCGCTCCCAGCATCCAGGCCCTCTATCTATGAGGGCCTTCCATCGCTGGTGTTTGTATGGGGACAACCATCCCTCCTTTAGATGGAGGGATGGCACCCCATACAACACGGGGAATAGAGCGGATGCTGGGAGGAGAAGACAACGTGGCTCAAAAGTTGTCAATAATTTTTTTACATTTTAAAATGTAAAGAAATTGACAACTTTTGAGCCACTTAATTTTTTTTTTGTAATTTTTTTTTGTAATATATTTTTGTAAATTTATTTTTGTGTTGTTTTTTAATTTTTCCCATGAATGTTAAATGTTATCAAAGTAAATCATTTAAATAAAGACACCCTTATCAACAATGCTCATTAACTAGAAATAAAAGTCACGGTCATACATTTGATAAAGTTAATGTTAATCTCAAAGGGATTTGGTTTTCACACAATCAAACTCTATGTAGCACCTTCCAGAACTAAGAATATAAGTGTGTGGTGTTAGTAGTTTAAAATATGTATAATAAACTCAGAATAACTCAATAACCCTCAACAAAACTATGAACTAATTTTGAAATTCAAGTTGAGTTTTTTTATTTATTAATACCTCCCCTCCCAATAACTCTAATTTTCCTTAAAAAACTAATTTTTTTGTCCTTTGAAGGTGGTTCTGCTATTTAATTAATTGTTGTGATGTTTTATGCAAATAGATTTAGCTCACATTCATGTTGGTCTGTCAAGGTTATGTAAAAATAAAAAAGTAAGTTTCTTATTCGCATTTTTGAGTTTTCAAAAGTATTGATTGCATGACATGTTAATTTGTAATTAATGTGTATGATTATGCGTTTAAATAACTTTGTTCCATTTTTAGTTCCGTTTCTTATAGCTGACTTGATTATGGCTTACCTAAAGCTTAATATTTATGAAACAATGATTCAATTTAAATTGTATTATAAGTAGCTCTGTTGAATAAAATTTTTTTTTTGTAATTTGTACTAAAGGTTATATTTTTATTTTATATCAAGAAAAATATGTTTTTAAGTAAACATCTATATTTTTTTATTTTGGGATTTATTGTTTTAAATGGATATAAAAATCATTTTTGCTTTGTCTTTTATATTTCCTTTTATTATATATGAATAGGAACCATTTATGCTTTAATCACCATTAGCACTCGAAGTTTCCATTTGCATTAAGTATCGATTTTTGGCACACACAACAGGTTTAATAACTTAGGCAGTAAAAACAGCTTGAATGATTTGTTAAGAGTCTTTAAAGAAACGCTTTTACGAAAAGCATTAAATAGATAAAGCTAACTTATTTAAAATAATAAGTCTTTAACCCGTTTTTCTATATCCAAATTTACTTTTTAAATAAATGTTGATGAAAGGGTAAAATATCGTTATAGCCTACGTTAATTTTAAATTCTTTTTAAATTAAAGGAAAGAGTTTTGATACTTATTTAAATAGGGTTAATAAAATATTTCAAATTATATTATATATATTATATTTAAGAAATTATTAAACTAAATTAAATAAGATTTTTAGATGAAACAGTAAAAATAATTGTTTAAAATACGTGCGTGCAAATAATTCCTACAAATACTAAACGTAAAATAACGCTTACAAACACCAAAAGTATGTTTGCAGTGAATAAAGTTAAGTTCAAAGATAAATAGGAAGAAATGTTTAAAACTGTTTCAATAATAACATTTATTTTTAATTACTTTTGTTGTAAGTTGGGATGAAAAAAAAAGGTCACTGGAGTATGAACTCCCGGGGTGAGATGACTATATCTGTCTAAGTGTTGCGCGTCTACCAATTAGCCCATAAACGTATTTTCTATTTAGAATTTAAGATTATTTATGACGCATAAGAAGTGTAATTAAAAATTCAAAACCAAGTTTGCAACAACCAAATTTAAATAAAATCTAATTAGATGTGTATATTTATGAACGTTAACTAAGGCGTACTTTAACGGCGTCACGTGTTGAATGTTTTAGCATTTTTCTAAGTTCGTCGTCTTTTTTACGTTTTTTCTTATAAAAATTTTTATAATCGGCATATTATTAAAATCGTTTGAAGTTTTTAAAAGAACATTTTAACAGAAATGTTTTTGTCATATCAAAAAGTAAGTATAGTTTTTTATATGTACATTTTTAAACGGTTTTAAAAAAATATTGAGGTAAGGAATAAGTATAGAAAAGGTCGGTGTAGAATAGATTTACTAAGACCCTTAGTTTACGTCCGGATAGCTATAGATAAGTATAAAAATGGTCGGTTCGGTAAAGACCCGTATTTTACGGGTCTCCCCAGCTAGTTTTTATGGAAAAGCTATACAAATTTTGTTATAGGGTTGGCTAAAAAACTAATGACAATTCCATTTTTTTCTTTTAAACTGTGTTCTTAACAGTTTTAATACTGTTTGAACAGTTTTACTTCTCATGGTTGTCTCTGATTTGCCAAATATTCTAAAGTAACAAAATATTTTTCATCAGAATCGGAACAGTATAAGTCCAAATCCATAAGAAACTGTTAATTTTTGTTAACTTTGATGTTTTCAACTCAAAAACATTTTGTTTTTGACAGTAGATTTCCGAAAATAAATTCAGAGCATAGATATCTGCAAAATTTTACGCCGGTAAAAGTTTTACAACATTGAATGAAAAAACATTTTACGTCTCTAAATTTACGCGGTAAAAATTCCATAGTAAAAATTCCGCCGGTAGCATTTTACGTCGATAAAAAGTTTTATAACATTGACCCCTGGTTGTTACAAAAATTGAACTACTTTTCTTTGTTTGTCTGTATTATTGATGGTCTTTCCACGAAAAAGTTCACTTATAGATTTATCTGCTCATGTTCAAAACTTTGAACAAGAGCAGATAAGTCATTAAGTGGAATTTTTTTGGCATAGCTTATTTTAACTTAGGTAATGAATAACAAACCACTTGATTTAATGCTCTACCTCTGTGTACTGTTTCCATCTAAAGGAGACAGTGCTTATTGAAAGAGATGAAATGAGTAATATTGAACATGTTAATATAATATATAAGGAAATAATTAGGGCTGCCGATTCAAACTTTTTTAAAGAAGTTCGAACATGAATATGTTCGGACTATTTGGGAAAAAGGTTCGAACGTTTTTGAACTTTTTTTAATGTAGTATAACACGCAAAATAATAGAGTACAAGTTAAAAACAAAACTGTTTATTTATCTATTAATAAAACTGTTTATTTATAAAAGCAAAACTGTTTATTATTGAGACCCGCTTCTCATTTTCATTACATTTAACTTGAAAAAATTGTCTATTTGAGAATAAACAACATCACTCAGTATTTTTAAGTGTTTATTTTAAAAGAATTAATGCATGTAATGTATCATCCCGTAATGAGCTTCTTATTTTTGTTGCAAATAATCCTAGGCTAGAGAAAGCCCTTTCAATCTTCACAGATGTCGGAGGAATAGTTTTAAGAGCATTAAAAAGCATTTTTAAATTTTTGGGCCTTGATTTTTTGGTTTCAAAAAGAGTCATTTCCTTTTTAATGAGGTTAGATCAAGTTCACCTTTGTCTACTGTCATTTGAAAAACAGATGTTTTAATAAAACATTTAAGTTCTTGAGCTCAAGTCAATTTAATGCTATTATTTTTCATATCATCAGTTATATTACTGTTATTGAATTCGCCATTAGCATCAGAGTCTTCCTTGCTAGACTGGAAAAATCTTTGAATAAGATTGATAGCAAAACTTGCTATAGTGTTTCTTTTTATTTTATTCCCAAACTGATCATCTTGATTCAAAACATCTGGGTTTTGATAAATATTTCATTAGATGTATTAACTTCATATTTCTCCTTTCAACAATTCTTTTTTCAAGTTGCTGTTTTACAAGTTGACTAATTGGTGTGTTAGGTTCATTCAATTTTTTCCGGATAAAATGAATTATAATTTCAGAAGACAATAAATCAGTATCACGTTTGGAAAGTGCTTCAATAACTATTTCGAGCGGCTTTAGGGCAACACAAAGGTAATTAACTTTATCAAGTTTATTCTTAGAGTGAGGAAAATCGGTGTTTTTGCTAATTAAAGCTATTATTTTTTTTTTTTTTTTGGACTTCCAAAACCCGTTCTAACATAGCGATTGTGCTACTCCACCTTGTCCTGGAGTCATAAATCAAAGCTTTCTCTTTTCCAGATGCTTTAACAATATTTGGCTGAAGATCATCATTATTTTTTACAGGTAATCTACAAAACATTTGTAAGGTAGGGCGGGGCTAGTTGGGCAATTTATACTAAATCTAACAGATCTCTTGAACGGTAAATACAATTAATATAATTTTTTCACTATTAGAAAGATAACTTGATCTGCTAAAAAATGGTTGAGACAAAAAACTTTTTTTGATTTGTTTTAGAAAATGTTGTCGAAGGTTTATAAGGCTGCTCAACGTACCCCAGCAAGGTAAGTTGAGCAATTGCGTGGGGTAAGTTGAGCAATAAAAAAAATAAATGCATTTCAGTAACAACTATTAACACTGTTATAAAACCAAAACAAAACTTCCTTATAAATTAAATAGATCCCAACATACAAGACAAGCATAATCGTGTTCTTCACTTGTCTTTATTTTTTTAGTCATCATAGTTTTTTTGTTTGATTGTTTTTTAACTTTTTTTAATATACTAAGCAGCAGAGTCTCCTTATTACCATGATCTGCAAAGGATTGACTGGCTTTTTTTGGTTTCTTTAAAATTTCTTTCTTCTCAGTTTTTTTGTTTGTTTGTTTCTTAAATATACTATGTAACTGAGTCTCTTTATTACCACACTCTTTATTAATGTTTGAAAGGAATTGACAGGTAGATAATTTTTTTGTTTCTCAACTTTTTTAGGTTTCTTAGTTTGCTGCTGTTTTAATATAATTCTTTCTGGAGTATCTGTTAGCAGCTTTCCTTTTTCTTCGTCTTGTCAAATGTATCTTTCTTGGTGCTGCTTTTGGGTAAGGTCGCACAGTTTCTGGAGAAAACGCTTTAGGAGTTTCAGCGATAAGTAACATCGTCTCTTTATTAATACTACTTTTGACAGATTGACCTGAAGATGATGTTAAACATACTTCAGAATGAGCTACGTGTGATAGCTCAGAAACAAGATTTGCTGGTTCTATACGATCTGTGAGAAATGATGGTAAAAAATCATCAGAAAAAGTGTTTGTATTGTACGGGTATACACCAGTTTTTTGAAAACCCTTTGTAATGTACTAACATTATGTATTTAATTTATTTTGGTGGCTTGTATTTATTTATATTGTATATTTATATATAATGTATATCTAATTTATTCAATTTGTATAATGTATTTAATTTTTATTTATTAAAAGACAACACAGATTATCTGATTCAAAATTATCTAAAAAAATTAAAAAAGCTTTAGATGTTTCAAAATCAACAACAGATCATATAATGATAATAATAGCAAAAAGATAATAAAAATTCCATTTCAAATCCAATAATTGTTATTTCATTAAAAACATTTAGGCTTCTTGAAGAGTAATCCTTTTTTTATTTTTTTGGCTTGAATTTTAAGGCAATATTTGAAAAAAAAAAACATTTCATTAAAGAATAATTATTCAAACAAGTCATTTAAGAATCATTATTCAACCTTCTTTGAAGATTACTGGCTGACAGTTTCATTGAAGTTACACATCATAATTCAACATGTATCTTCATTTGCAAAGATAAGCTCATTACTTTATGTTTATATTATTAACAAAAAACAGCAGCAATTTACTGCTGCTTTTTGTTAATAATATAAAGCTAAAATATTGTCATGCTTTGCGTAGTTTCCAAACCATGGGAATCCCCATGGTTTGCATACTTTGCAAAAAAATAGCTTCAGCAAAAACTATGTTGAATATGTGTGAATACTTAATATACAACGTAAATGCAGTTATATATCACTTTTATATACTTATACAAACAAAAAAAAAAAATTTTATTTGTGAGAAACTTTATGAAAATTTAGTTCTACAAGTTACATAAATATAAAAATAGGAAGTAGCAAGAAGATTCATAGACAATATATATAAATTTTATAAATAAAATGAAAATTCTAAATTAATTAATCCTTGGAATTATGATCGGTATTCAG